GGCACTGGATGAGCCAAGTGACGATTACTGAGCCAGAGGCCAGTATTGCTTCGCTGGCATAAAACGAGAAAGTCCGAAGAACTCGTCCAGAGAGGCTGCCAGGGGTCCTGACTTAGGGTGCTGTCCATGATTTTTTTTGCTTTTTTTTCTCCACGAATGGTGCTATATTTTTTGCCTCACCTCCTAGCTAACGCTCCCATTCCCTCTTGATATAACAGTTTTATTTGTAGTACCTAGATAAGAAAAGCCCGCTAGTAATTGAGCCGTGCCTCAACACAACATTTTCAGAGAGCAATTTTGAGAACGTTGTCCGAAAGAAGCAATGTATCTTCAAAGGAAGCATCTGCATATGCGATATGTATGTATGAAATGTTTGAATTATGGACGGATAGCGCAGGGTCGAGAATGGAGGAGTTTGTCCGAGGACCGAAAGCAACGAAGATTCCCATCAGCAGCACCACAAGCAAGTGCTGGTTCTATCAGCAGCGCCAAGACCACTGGAACTTTCACATTTACCACTGCTTCATCTTCTACCACAATCGCGAGCATCACTGTTGCAACCGGTGCGGCCACCTCAGCTCCCACTACCGCCGCTGTCCTTTCTACGACTACTACAGTTCCAACTACCTCTATACCCACCTACTACCACTACACCTTCAACACACAATAACCATACTAAAACACCACTACCAACACGACAACCCACAACCACCACTCGCCACTACCACCCAGCACCAACACCACTAACACCACCACCACACCTACCACACTTCACCCACAACCACCACTACACACACACCATCACACACCACAACCACCACTCACCACCACAACACCCACCCATGACACAACAGGCCCACAACACGACTACCACAACCACGACCACCCAACCACCAACCCACCCACACCACCAACCACACAACCACTGCCCCACTACCACAAACCACGCCCAAACCACCACAACCACACACGCCCGACCACACTCATCTTCCACTACCCACCACAAACCACCACTACCACACAACCACCACTACCACCACTACACCGACAACTACCATCTTCCCCGTACCACCAAGCCCCACAAAACCCACTACAACACTTGCACCCACCACCACCACCACTATGCCTATTTACCTATCAATCCATCACGAACCAGCCCAGTCCAATCGACCAATCAAAACATCATGCTGTTATTGGCACCTCTTCACCCCGGATAACCGTAGAACAGGTAAGGCTTAATTGAAAAGATAAGTAGCAAGTTGTAAAAGTGACTTTCGGACAATAGCGCACAGACCAACACACAGTCAAACAGCAGGTGAATCAAACACAAAGTAAGTTAGATGCAATTCTCTGATTCCAAAATCACTTAAAGTCATTCACCGTACGTCAGTGTGAACTGTGGTGGGTGGTAGAAGCAAATGAGTGTCAGTAATTAGAATTAGTCATCTTGTTCCCGAAGAAATGTCTAGAGACAATATCGGCAGCGTGCATAGACGGCGCACAGAAAACCAGAAGACTGTATGGCTGCAGTAGAAAATGCAACCGCTGCTGCGTTAAGGTTCCCCACCCTTCAGCCGCCCCAACTGCACGTAATTGTGACGATAAGTGGCGATTATTGGCTTGGAATGCTGATAAGCTTTCGCCCTTTTGGAAGCAGTTATACCCTTGCCTGAATTATCCTATGGCTGTGGAGAGCTGCATAATTTTATCTGTCAGGCACAATAAGACTGCGTTAATCCTCCTTGCCTTGAGCGATTTAGTCGCACAATTTGGACGTGCTACGAGCGGAGCGTACTTAGCTACAATACCGTACACCAACATGATCAAATTGCACAATTCTTGCTCTGTAGAATTTCAGTGTACGGTACTGTCCAGCAGAGCGGTGTGGTTGCACACGCCGCACTTTCAGCACGCCTAACCGAGCTGTTTGCTACTCTCCTACCTCCCCCATGGTTACGTGACATCTTGAACTTTTGTGCATGGTCCTGTTACGAAACCCTGTGACGCAGACGGATAGAGGGCAGCGGCTGCCAAAGCATCGAAACGTGCAAAGAAGCATATGACCCGAACCTTTGTTTGAGCTTTGCAATGCAGAGGGAACTCCGGATGCGCGGCGCACTTACCATAGTATGAAAAGCCGAATTATGTAAGCCCACAATTGACCACAATGCAATACACGGAGAAAGAATGTGACAGAGAAAACAGATGGCCGTACCATTCCAAAGATTAAGTTCAAGTTGATCGTAAGAACCTCGCGTTCCAGCAGCGGCACAGCCGGGCAGGGGGGGCGAATGGAGTGTTTGGTAGCGGCTGAAAAACCGATATCCCCTCCATTGATTAACTTCGCCTTTCAATTTGAATGAGGTTAAGCCGACTCTTATAAACAGAGTGACGTGCATTGAGAATTTACCGCGCATCAGCACACGATACGCCGCGCGCGGCGAAGCGACAAATCACGATTGTCTTGACCCTCTCCCGCAACTCGGTGGCTAGCATTTAGTAACATCAAGCAGTACATGGAACAACGGATGGCGTCATGGCTTTTTGGTCAAAGGCACATTGAGGGCTAATCGCCTGGACGGAGGCGCCGCGCCATTGTGTTTTCATTTGGCTAGCGTGCTTTCGTCATTCGTCCGACCCAGGAGGGTCGAACCAATGAGGAAAACACGATCGCTGATTGTCTCCGCCCTTATTGCTGTTCGACAAGTTACCACGCAATGTGACTGTTGACATCTAGATAGATGTGTTTAGGATAGCTGCCGAAAACCTTGAAGCACCCGCAAATGGACCGAATCTGCCCTTTACCGAGCAGCTGAATCTAAGACCTCGGACTTGCTACCTTCACTTACACTCAAAGTTAGCTGCGGATACTGGGGGTATTCGTGGGGCTGGGTTTGGCGCAGCACCAACCCGTTTCCCACCAACTGTTAAAACAACACAGCGAAAACAACTGATGGAATACGGGCTGGCTCTGTGCAAAACCTAGCCCCATGCTCCAGCATCCGGAGCCAACAAGACTGTACACACTTCAGCTATTTGAAAACGAACTACTAGTTGATCAATACCTTGGTTGGCTTCTGAATGTCGAACACAAAATGTGGATTCTTGATCAGATTCACCCAGAACCTGAGCGGCAACGCATTGCTCTTCCATGCATGAACCACTTCCGCATCGGTGATACCGTGTTCAAGCGCCTGAAATTGTGGACAATCAAAATAATTAAAACTTTTTCTGCATTGTTTAATTGCATGTTTCCTCTTCACTTTTCAAAATTAGGGTCAGACCTCTATCAAAATTCGTTACCGGAGACAAACTAACAACCAAGTCAAAGGCTTCATCTGAGAAAGGGGTCCTTAAAGTAGAGTCATGATCCCTGTAAAAGACAGGGCGTGTGAGGAGCGTGGCTTGGAAGGCAGCCAAGGCAGATTTAACACAGTTGTAGCGAGCTCAGGATGACACAAGTGTTGGAACAAGCCCACCCTAGCCGCGCTTCAGACCGCGCCGCGTCACACACCTTATTGTTCGCAGAGATCGTCACCGTGCTCCACATACCGGGGGAATGAGAGGGCGTGGCCGCACACTCTACTTCAGACATGACGTGGGATGCGTTTTCCGTGGGATATTTTTATTTGAGCAAACTATCTTCCGGTTTTGCTCAAAACAAAGTCATTATCACATTCGCACCAAAACCAAAATATCTCGCCAGAGGCGCACCCCGCGTAAAATGAAGTACGCAGTCAAGCCCCCCCCCCCTCCTCCATCTCCGGCAACTCGTGACCGGCACAAGCCTGTCAGTAG